AATGGATTGGAGCGTTTGGCGTCGACTTAAAGGAGCTCAAACCTTCTAGCGTCTAAATCTGGTGGCAAGCTGGCAAAACTCATTGAGAAATTCTGAAATTCCAGAATTTCGAATTTTGACTATCTAGCCCCGGCTTGAAGGCGTTGAAAGACCGCTGTAAAGAGGTTGGCTACCAAAAATTCTTTGGGAAATTTTCGTAGCCATTTTGACCAAATTTTGACCATCTAGCTCCGGCTTCAAGGACTTCAAACGGTTCTTGCCATGTGTATCGGGGGCAGGCTAGCAGAAATTCTTTGGGAAATCCCGGAAGCTTTGAATTTAATTTACTAATTCGCGCAACTTCAAGGAGTTCAAACGTTTTTGTTAAGAAAATCGGGGGCAGGCTAGCAGTAATTCTTTGGCGAAATTGAAAGACCAAGTTCGATTTGAAGATTGTGAGAATTAGGCTATTTGTTTCAGAAGCCTGCCCTTCGCAGCGTCACCGACTCGGCCAACCCCAGCCAGCCGAACAGCGCCGAGCGCCAACCACTATCCGCGTGTCGCCAGGAATCTACAGAGGGCCAGGTATTTTTTTTTGTTTAATGTTTTAATGGGCTGATTTTTAGGAGCGCCACTCGGGCCACTGGCCGGCCGTCACTACGCACCCCGAGATCGCCGAGAAGACCGACGAGAACACGGCCGCACAAGCGATCACCCGTCGACGTTCGTGGCGCACGCACTACGTTCGCCCGCTGCGCGACAACGATGTGGCGGTACGTTTTGGTCGTTTATCGGGCTTTGCGCATGTCGATTGGATTTTTTACCAAATTTACAAAATTGCAAATTTACAATTTTTCGCTTTTTAAAGTGGATTTGAAATGGCTTGTAAAGTCATTTTATCAATTATTTTAGACTCTTGGCGGCGGCTCCCTTGATGCTGATGACCACCCGGCCGTGTGTTGGCTAATACGCGAGGAGTCGGCCACGCCCATTCGCTTGGAGGTGGTGCTGTTTTTATTGCTCATTTAATCGATTCCCAAGCAGTTAAATAAGGTTTGCGGTAAACATCTAATCATTTTTGCTTACAAAAAGATTATAAGTTGCGGAAATGTGTGTACTTTTGCAAATTTGATCGAAAATGACCAAATATTTTCAAAAACTTGAGATTTTAAAGATGTGTTTTTTTTAACGAGGTTTAAAAGTTATTTTTTCAATCGAAAAAATTGAAAAATTAGTTTGAAGTTGGTTTTCTAAAAGTTAAATTTTTGATTTTTTTTTCATTTGACCGCAGCCTCGCTGACGCGACCGGCAGCGGTGGCAGCAACGGCTCGGGCACGCCTCCCGGGAAGCGCGCTTCGCTGAAGAAGAAGATGAGCACCGAGTTCAGCCAAAGGCCTTCGGCTCGTCGTCATTCTCGTGCATCAAAATCAATGTTTCTTCCGCATATAATCGATCCCCGCTCCCACCACACGTCCTTCACTTTTCGCGATGTCACTTGCGTTTTGTTGTCCGTTTCCCTTTGTGTTTGTGCTTTTTTTCGCATCTGGATGCTCTTGGGGATGCCACAAATTTTTGGCATTAAAGGGTTTGTCCTCCTTGTACTTTGTCCCCTGAAAATCTGAGCTGCAACTTTGCAACTGACCAGCGCACGTCTTTCACCCGGCCTCTCTTCTGCGCGATTTTCCAGGGTTTTTTTGTATTATTATCGCGAATTAATACGACCCTGTTTTTGATGAATTATCAGGCTATGTGAAGTTTTCGGTAGCGTGCTGTTAGCGGGGAGCGATTTTTAACGGGGGTGGAAAGCTATTTTGCTATGCTATACGCACCTGGCAAAATTTGCGATTTTAGACTATTTTTATCGCGTTTTTAGCAATTCTTAAATCACTAAAATGTTCTAAAATTTTAAAAAAAGAATTAATTAAATACATTTTGAAAATCAAGAAAATTTGGCTGATTTTTATCCCCCCCGCTAACAGATCAGTACCCTACCCGCCAATTGTCCGGCTCTCACTCCATTTCTTCACCCTTTTCGTCGTCGCTCACCCCAATTCCACTAGCACCCGGCCGCCATCCTGTTGATCGTCTCCCACTCCACCCTCACCCTCACTTCTCCGTCTCGTCGATTGATTAATATGTATTAATGGGCTCACTGAACCATACACGCACGCACACTCACGCGCATATATGCACCTGTTCTCCTGGCTACACATGTACTTTGACATGTACACATTGAACTCTCTGGCTCCGTCGATTTTTCAGAGGTTTTGGTTGTGGAGATTTTTTTTGACGTCAGGTTCGAGCTGTTCAGGGGTGAGGCTTGTCGTTTTCGGGCTTTACAACGGGTTTTTAGCCGAGTTTTCGGTTTTGCGTTGAACGCGCCGAACTTGAGCTCTGACTTTTGAGTTGGGCTTGGAAAGTTATGGCTTCAAAAAACCTACTTGTGAGGGCGCTTCGGCTGAAGCTGAACTCCTCCATGTTCAAGTTCGGAGCGTTTTACCAGCTAAAAGCCCAGGTTTCTGCTTTGAACTCGCCGAACACGAGCTCTGGCTGATGGCTGAAGCACGAATAGGCCTAGAAAAAACTCCGGTTGGCGTCCTTGAACTTGGAGGGGGGAAGGAAGCACAATCCCAAGAAGTTCACCCTACGATCGATAAAATCTGAACAGCTCCGAACTTGTCGGCACCGAAATCCCGACCCCACAGATTCCCTGAAACTTCTATTGTCCGTTCCGTCGCCTGAACCCTGAGGCTTATCCCCCACGCTCGCCCCGTTCCGCACTCACTCACTATACAACCCAACCAAAAACACATTCCAAAAAGCGGCGGCCCGTTTTTCTTGCGTGGCGCCGCCGCGTAGCTCATCTACAGTTATTTACAGGGTGGCTAGAAAGTATTTGCCGCAGGGAAAGCTCCTTAAGAAATTCTCCGTGTCCGGCTTCTTTGCCATTTTATAACCAAAATGTAGCAAACAGACCCCTCTTCACGACTATCAAAAGACTAACACCCTAGACCTCAGATTTTTAAGATACGGTCCTTTAGAGGTGTATCCAAACATAGCCTGCGCCGCACAGTATTTTGACTTTAGTGTTAATCTTTTCAATTTTTGCTTGCAACCAATCAGAACAGAAATTTGGATTTTTGTTTATTGCAAGGCCCTTTATTGGACGTATCAACCAGAAAATTCGTTTTAGCCGTATCGAAAAGCTTGCTATTTTCTTGAGCGCCTAAAATGAGCGGAACAAGGTGTTTTTGGAGCACAAATACAAAATCTTAAACAACCACGTTTTTATGCGGAAAATATTACTTGTTGTGAACGCAATAAAACCAACCGCGTGGTTAGGAAAAACTCATTGGATAGCCGTAACTAAAATTATTGGCGGGCACAAAATAATAATAAGTTGCACTTTCTTGCCGTTGGTTTCGAACGATCTTCAAATGCTTGAGGCCGGCGTTTTCAATTATTTTGGTCCTAGTCAAAGTGTCAGCCTGGTAGGCTTATGCATTATCTATATTTTAATAGTAAATTTAGGGCAAGTTTTCGAATTAATGATTTTAAAATCCATTTTTGTGCGGCAGATGGTTGCCAGCCACGAATCTCGGTGCACCCCACTAGCAAAATTTACTTTCACTTCCGTGATCCATCTATATCGAGGTGCCCCGAGCATAATTTTTTTTAGATAGTTTCGTTAATGGTTTCTACGATACAGCACCGGAAAAGAATAAGATATCCCCTAAGAAATTTTTCGAGGCTTTCGAAAGTGCTGAAAACCAATACAAAAACGAGTTTTTATGTATTTCAGTCTAATTAAAATTATACGTGCAAGCATTTGCTAGTTTTTATATATCAATCGATAGAGCAAAAAATGCTCTTCCGAATACACCCCACCAATGCACCTGTCGCTGGAATTTTAGCAGGATTAAAACCAGCGCAAAAGCGCGGCAAATACTTCTAGCCACCCCTGTATGTCTCCCTGTCCGCTTGCGTTTTTATTATGAAAGCAGATCGTTCGTAGAACCGATATCGAGTCTCTCACCCTTCTTTTGGTCGCTTCTTTCTCCCCTTTCAGCGTCTACCCGTCTATGCAATGAAATATGACTCTTCGAATTTCGCCGTGTCGAAATAAATTCATTGTTTTTTGGAGTCTATTTTACAATACATTTCAAAAAAGTTAAATAAAAGAATTCCCAAGCGAATTTGATTAGGGAGCGGAGCGAGAAAGAGAGAGAGAGAGAGAGTGAGAGAGAGAGAGAGAGTAGAGAGAGAGAGAGAGAAACCCGCAAAATCTACCTTGGCAAATTATGCAAATTTGAAAACCAAAATTTGCATTCCGAATGAAGATGGAAGGTCAACAACCATAAGAAATGCGTTATACTTCCCCACAACCGTTTCAATGGACGGTATCCCGTTTCACTGCAGGCGCTGGTTGAGAGTGGAACCGTCATCTACCAAATGATACTCCTCCTGGTACGTTACTGAAAAAATTGTTATGCGCCAAAATCGACCCTTAGACTGGCTAGGTCTAGACAGCTTTTCGCATCATAGCCTTCTCCTTCCATTCCCAAATGATCTCTGCTAGCCTGCCCCTTCCATTCCCAAATGATCACTGCTAGCCTGCCCTTCCAATCCCAAATGATCTCTGCTAGCCTGCCCGTTGCGTAGCTGTCTAGATCTAGTCGACGAAAGGGGTCGATTAGTTTAAATTTGCTCACGCTGCTTCAGGCGTGATCATCTTCGTGACGGTGCTGCTACGCTACCTGATTCCACACATTTTCCCAGATTGGCATGGTGGAAGTGCCGAAGGAGAGGAAAGCGTTGATGACAATCGAGTCTCCGTCTACGTCGACTTGGCCCCGGACACCTCGGAGACGTCCGACTACGCCGGCAGATGGAAGGCCGGATTTTTCAAGAGGGGCTTCAAGAAGGCGCTGTTAGAAGAAGGGCGTCGACCCGAAATTGATCAACATCACGCTCGAGCTGCTCGACGATGGTGATGTGATGTCCCAGACGGAGGGATCTGATCCAGGCGTCGAGCCTCAAAAGTTGGTGCTTTAGCCCCTTTTCGTTTCCCAGTTATTCTCATGTAGTTTCATAGCGTTGTTATTAGTTTTTCGTTCATAGACAATTAGGAAAAAATGGTTCTTTTGCCTTATCGGGGGAGGGGGGGTAGGGGAGCTTACCTTTTTCGCACTGATCTAGAAATGACTAGTATTTTCATCCGGGTTTTTAGTAAAATAAAACTATATTTAAACTGGAAAGCTATCTAAAAACGTTGAAAACTTTTCCAAAAGGCGGAGTTTTAGTAAAAAACGGTCATTTTTCCTGAAAAATCTGATTTTTTGCATTTTTTTCATAAAACTTAGTACGGTTATTCGCTTAAGAAGGGCAAGGAAATAATGTAAATTTAAGAAATAAATTTTAGGCTAAACCCAGATAGTCTCTTCAGCCGGCACTTATTATCGTATCTGAGCCCCTGTTCATCTACAGGTGTTAAAGTATAGCAAAATACTCGCCACAGCAAGACGAACATTTTGGTATTACCTGTAGATGAACAGGGAGTCGAGATACAAAAGTGGGGTGCCGGCTTTGGGGGTTATCTGGAGTCTTACCAATTTTTAAAAACGTATTCAAAAATTCGTTCATATGAAAAAATGTCTTCCCATCCCGATAAACTAGCATCCCCGATATTGAAACAGTACCTTTTGAAATGTTCCTTTAGACCAAAGATCACGCGCCTGAAGCTGATGCTGCCGGAGGACGCCGTCCCGTTGTTGCAAAAGATGCAAGAGAAGCTGACCGTCGAGTGCGACAAGCTGCGCGCTAGCGCCGTCAAGCTCGACCACATGCTCACCATCGAGGGTACCGCCGGTAAATTCACCACCGAATTCAACCCCAAAATCCAAAGAGCCGAAATCCCGCGCGACCAGCGCACCGCGCGTCTGCTGAAACTCGAGACCCTGTGGCACAAAACCCTACGCAGCGCCCGCATCGAACTGCTCGACAAGTCCGTCTTTTGCGCCTCCGAGGAGTTTGAGAAAACGATGCCCACCGACGCGATCACTGGCCGAATTCTACATGGTGCCCAAAAAGCGCTGCCAAGAAAGCGATGTCGGTGATCTGGAAGGCGTTGACATGTCCCACTCCCGAGACCGAAGAGACCGTGGCTGGGTTGACACTTTTGATGCGAGGAAGGCCCGGAAAGAAGCAGAAGGAGGAGTCGAAGACGGATGGGGGAGAAGCCGAAGCAGCAGCCCGTCGACCAGAAATTGTGGGTGTTTGAGACTACGGGGCAGGCTGGCAGAGCTCACTTGGGAATGGAAGGGGCAGGCTAGCAGAGATCATTTGGGAATGGAAGGGGTAGGCTAGCAGAGATCATTTGGGAATGGAAGGGGCAGGCTAGCAGAGATCATTTGGGAATGGAAGGGGCAGGCTAGCAGAGATCATTTGGGAATGGAAGGGGCAGGCTAGCAGAGATCATTTGGGAATGGAAGGGGCAGGCTAGCAGAGATCATGTCGGAATGGAAGGGGCAGGCTAGCAGAGATCATTTGGGAATGGAAGGGGCAGGCTAGCAGAGATCATTTGGGAATGGAAGGGGCAGGCTAGCAGAGATCATTTGGGAAATGGAAGGGGCAGGCTAGCAGAGATCATGTCGGAATGGAAGGGGCAGGCTAGCAGAGATCATTTGGGAATGGAAGGGGCAGGCTAGCAGAGATCATGTCGGAATGGAAGGGGCAGGCTAGCAGAGATCATGTCGGAATGGAAGGGGCAGCCTAGCAGAGATCATTTGGGAATGGAGGGGGCAGGCTAGCAGAGATCATTTGGGAATGGAAGGGGGCAGGCTAGCAGAGATCATTTGGGAATGGAAGGGGCAGGCTAGCAGAGATCATTTGGGAATGGAAGGGGCAGGCTAGCAGAGATCATGTCGGAATGGAAGGGGCAGGCTAGCAGAGATCATGTCGGAATGGAAGGGGGCAGGCTAGCAGAGATCATGTCGGAATGGAAGGGGCAGGCTAGCAGAGATCATTTGGGAATGGAAGGGGCAGGCTAGCAGAGATCATGTCGGAATGGAAGGGGGCAGGCTAGCAGAGATCATGTCGGAATGGAAGGGGCAGCCTAGCAGAGATCATTTGGGAATGGAAGGGGCAGGCTAGCAGAGATCATTTGGGAATGGAAGGGGGCAGGCTAGCAGAGATCATTTGGGAATGGAAGGGGCAGGCTAGTTAGTGATCATTTGGGAATGGAAGGGGCAGGCTAGCAGAGATCATTTGGGGGAATGGAAGGGGCAGGCTAGCAGAGATCATTTGGGAATGGAAGGGGGCAGGCTAGCAGAGATCATTTGGGAATGGAAGGGGCAGGCTAGCAGGAAGATCATTTGGGAATGGAAGGGGGCAGGCTAGCAGAGATCATTTGGGAATGGAAGGGGCAGGCTAGCAGGAGATCATTTGGGAATCAAAGGGGGCAGGCTAGCAGAGATCATTTGGGAATGGAAGGGGCAGGCTAGCAGAGATCATTTGGGAATGGAAGGGGCAGGCTTGCAGAGATCATTTGGGAATTGGTAACACGCTATAAAATAACGATCAGCCCCCAAAAAGTGCAACTTTTCAGAAGCGGAAATACGTGAAGTTCACCCTCTTCTTCTCTCGCCCTCCGGCCACTGGATAAAACAAGAAACAAACTACCGCCAAATGCCTTTCTCTTTCATGTAATTCGATTTTGTGGCAACGAATAAATCATTTTTGTGGTTTGGAACCAATTACGCAAGCAAATTGAGCCGAGAGTTCGCGAGTTGTCAGCAAAGTAGAATATCCGATGCTTTGAATGAAGTATTTCTGAAGTTGATTTGCATGAAACGATAGCAAGAAAGACTCGGAAAACGAAGAGTCCGGAATCCGCAAAAATCATTCACTCTTCCCTGCTACCCGTTCGATGGCAGGCGTGGCGTTCGACTGGCGGGCGCTGGCCGATGATGGTGCCATCTTCTATTACCTCTTGATTCCTGGTAGGTATCGCGACTCTTACAGAAAAAAGAAAGTCGCCCGGTTCTGGACTGTTAGCAGTGGAGTTTGCAGGAAAACCACCTTTGTTTTTGCAGGGATCCCTACCGGTTGAGGATATATTACGTATTTTCATAGTGTTTTTAGTAGCTTTTAATTGCTAGAAAATTAAAAAGAGAAAAATTGAATTTGATATGGAAAATCTGGAAAATTTTAACTGATTTTTGGTACATTGGCATACATTTTTGACCAAAAAGTCTAAAGTTTTCGACAATTACTATTATTACTTTTAATATGGTTTGTATATCTAAAAGCGGGTAAAATGCCCTAAAACGGATTATCCGCCGCGAGAGTCGCGGGGAAAAATTTGGTCCCCCTGCTAACAGTCCAGAACCCCGACCAAACTGCACTCTTACCAACTTACGCAACTTTTAGCTCTCATCGCGGTAACGACGATGCTGTTCCGCCACATCTGGGGTAAGAAGACGCAAAAGAATCTTCGTGACCTGCCGAAACCTGAACTGAAAAACACGAAATTGAAGCAGAGGCACCTGCCGAAACCCAAGGTGCGAAAATCAGAAACACCACAAAATGGCTAAAAACATAATGAAAGCATCGAAGTTTCTTAGGCAACGAGCTGAAGGAGCGCGAGAAGGAGGCCCTTGAGAAGGAGAGGTGCGAGAAGCAGGAGCGCGAGAAGGAGAGGCGTGAGAAGGAGGCCTGCGAGAAGGAGAGACGCGAGGAGGAGAGACGCGAGAAGGAGAGGCTCGAGCAGGAGAGGCTCGAGCAGGAGAAGCGTGAGCCGCAGAAGCGCGAGCAGGAAGCCCGCGAGAAGGAGAGGCGCGACGAGGAGGAGAGGCGCGAGAAGGAGGCCCGTGAGAAGGAGGCGCGTGAGACCGAGAGATGCGAGAAGGAGAGGCGCGAGGAGGCGCGACGCGAGAAGGAGAGGCTCGAGCAGGAGAGGAGCGAGCAGGAGAAGCGTGAGCAACAGAAGTGCGAGGACGAAGCGCGCGAGCAGGAGGCCCGTGAGAAGGAGAGGTGCGAGAAGCAGGAGCGCGAGAAGGAGAGGCGTGAGAAGGAGGCCTGCGAGAAGGAGAGGCGCCAGGCGGAGGAGAGGCGCGAGCAGAGAAGCGCGAGGCAGCAGAAGCGCGAGCAGGAGAAGCGTGAGCAGGGAGGCCCGTGAGAAGGAGAGACTCGAGCGGGCAGCGCGAGCAGAGATGCGCGAGGAACGAGAGGCGCGAGAAGGAGCTGCTCGAACATGAGGCGCGTGAGAAGGAGAGGCCGAGCAGGTGGAGCGCAGCAGCAGGCGCGCAAGCAGGAGAGGCTCGTCAGCAGGAGGCGCGCGAGACCGAGAAGCGCGAGGCGGAGAGGCGCGAGCAAGAGGTCCGTGAGAAGGAGAGACTCGAGCGGGCGGAGCGCGAGCAAGAGAAGCGCGAGCGGGAGGCCCGCGAGCAGGAGCAGCGCGAGCAGGAGGCGCACGATAAGGGAGGCCCGCGAGAACGAGAAACGCGAGACGAAGAGGCGCGAGAAGGAGAGGCTCGAGCAGGAGAAGCACGAGGGAGGAGAAGCGCAAGCGGCAGGCGGGCGAGCAGGAACGGCGCGAGCAGGAGAAAGGCGAGCAAGAGGCGGCCGTGAAGGAGAAGCGCAAAGAAAGGCACCTGCCGCAAATAAAAGTGCGAAAAACGAAAACAGCAAAAACAACGAATTTACAAAATAATAACAAATTTAACGAAGCTAAATTTTTAGTTCTTAGATATTACCGTCTCGGAGAGGCGCTTTTTTAAAGTTCCAATTTTTTCCTAAGGTAATATGCGTAAATCCATCGAATCTATCGAATGGCACTTAAAAACTCCCGAAGAAAAGAACTATTTTACCTAAAAAAAATTTATAACCTTGCTGTGGTGTTCTCCCCTTAAAATATAGGTTAAATTTTGCCCACAAACACCTTTAAAATGCTGATCCTGCTAAAATTCAGGCGCAAACAAAAACGAGTGCCAAAGATGAGGAAGCTGAGGGAGCTGAGGAAGCTGAAAGGAGCTAAGAAAGCTGCCGCCAAGCGTCCCGCGAAGAAAGGTGCGGAAATAATGAAATAAATAACCGCAAATTTATGCTTAGGTTCAGCTTAGGACTAGGCTTATTTTTCGGCTTACGCTTAAGCTTAGGCTTGGGCTTGGGCTCAGGCTTGGGCTTAAGCTTAATTAGTCAGGCTTAGGCTTAGGTTAGGCTTAAGCTTAGGTCAGCTTAGGCCTAGGCTTCGATTGAGCTTCGGCTTCAGATTTGGCTACAGTTAGTATGCTTAGGCTTAGGCTTAACTTACCTTAAGGTTAACCTAACAGTTAGGCTTAACCTGCTTAGGCTTACGCATAGGCTTACGCTTAGGCTTACGCTGCGAAGCTCAACCTGCCTAAGCTTAGGCTTAGGCTTTGTCGATTAATCCATTTTAGAGGCCGACGGGATGACCCGCGAATTGTGGACGGTGTTGGCGGTGTGCGCGGCCCTCGACGACAAGATGTTCGCCGGCGTGCCGGGCCACTGGGAGCGCAAGCTGCGCCTGGCCATCCGCGCCTGGAAGAAGTCCGTGAAGGGCAGCACGCCGACCGAACAAAACCTCAAGATCACCCTGGTGCTCATGAGCCATTCGGTGGTCATCGTCGCGGAGGAGCAGCTGCGCAACGCGAGCCCAAACCACCACCACCACCACCAGCACCCTTCCCCGGCGGTTGCGGCTGCGTGGTGCAGGCGGATTTTTGGGTAGTGGACTTTTAGCGACGGGGAGGGGGAAGAAACCAAATTTCTCTCTGTGATCCTCTAAGGCCCCATAGCCAAATATAAACGATTTTTTATAGCATTTACATAGTTTTTTTCGATAAAAAAACAATATAAAAATGCTGAAAATTCTCGATAATTTTGAATTTTTAGTCCAAAATGTATGAAAAATGACCAAAAAATGTCAAAAGTTGCGAATTTCCGAAATTTAAAAAATATTTTTTAACTTTCTAGCATTGAAAATCTACTAAAAACACTAGAAAAATACATTAAATACGATCAACAGGCTGCAAAACAGAAAGTGGTCGCCCCCCCCCGCTAACAGTCCAGAATCGAAAAAATTTGGTCCCTCCGATAATGCAAAAGATCCGTTTTTAGACGCCCACGCCATGAAGATCATCCACCACATATACACGGTGTTCACCGGTCGCCTGTCGAGCTCGCTGTTCGGCGACACCTTGGAGAGGAACCTCGACGACGAGCTGCACGACGGCATCGAGCAGTGGCAGCGCTTCATCGCACTGCATTCGGTCGGTTTTTTTGGCGGGAATACCGGGGGTCTTCCTTAAACTTTTTTTACAATCTCTAGGCATGACAACTTTATTGATTTTTGATGAAAAAATCTAAAAACATTAGTTCTTTCGCATTAAAAAGGAAACCAGCACTTTTTTTCTTGTGATTTAATTTGTAACTATAAATAGTGGAAGGGTTTACAAAAGTTTATCTTCTTTTCTAAACGTAAGAACTTTACAAAATTTGAACATTTACAAAAACAACAATGAATGACGAAAAATATAGATTTTTCGGCCAAAAAGAGTATATTTTACCGAAATTTCGACTGGATGAACGTTATTAGATCGTTTTTCTAGCTGAAATATCGTTATTTTGTAATGGAAAACCTATTAAAACACTAGCTTGCTAGAGATTTTTAGACTTATAGAATCCCCGTGCCCCGATAATGCAAAAGAACCCAAAAAATCGTTAGGATTCGAGGTTGTTGCTGCGGAGTCTTAACAAATTTTGACGATATTTTGTATTAATGTAGGCATTGCTTTAATTGGAATTATATTTATCATCCTTTTAGTAAAATAAAACTATATTTTAACTAGAAAAACCATCAAAAATCTTTGAAAAAATTTCCAAAAGCTCAAATTTTGGTCAAAAACGTCCATTTTGGCGGAAAAACCGATATTTTGTATTTATCTATCAAAATTTTGTAAAGTTTTTACATTTAGAACGAGTAAATAACAGCTAAAAACACATGAGCTAAGTATTTTGAGAAATTCAATCGAGAAAAGTTGCCCCCGTTAATGCGAAAGGAGCCGATTTTGTGGTTTCCAGATGCGCCCCGACGCGACGCAAGAAAAACTCCAGGAGATTGCGCAGAAGGCCCATGACAGGGCGCTTCCAGTCCTGCTGGAGGCGCTGCAGCAGCAGGACGACGATGAGGATGTCGACGGCCCGGTGAAGGTGGAGGTGTGGATCCCGCCCCTTGGCCCGTCTCCCCGTCCCACCAACCACTGCCGCAACGCCGACACGATCTACGAGACGGTGTGCGTGTATTTTGACAGCCACGGCATGGCCGACGGCGAGGCGGCCAAGATCTTGGAGACGCTCAAGGTGGGGCGAGGCTTGATAACTCCTACAGGGTGTCCCAGTAAAAAAACCCCCAGCCGACCCCCAACTACCGTATCTCGGCTCCCTGTTCAAATACAGGGGTGTAAAGTATACCAAAATGTTTGATTTGCTCTGGCGAGCATTTTGGTTTACTTTAAACACCTGTAGATGAACAGGGAGCCGTGATACGGTAGATGGGGGTCGGCGGGGGAGGGTGGGAGGATGATGTTTTCAGAAACCCCCCATAGCCGAAATCCCCTTAAAAAACTAAAATGACAACCGACCGGATACTTGGGAGAAAAAGGAATCAAATGGCTCCGGTGAAAATTTTCATCCACGAAACGCGCCACCTGGCTCACTATGTCCAAAATCACCCCAACCTCCGTCCCCCACCCCTTTTACTAAGGAAAAACCTTCAAAGTTAATTTTAATAATTTAATCGAAAACTTTTTCATAATGTTTTCAACAGTTTGGGGTTTCTGACCGCTCTATCCGAATCCGAAAAGCCCTAAGCTCTAGCTCCTTTCCCCTTCGAGTTGAATTCGGCTTCACACAGACGGACACCACTACTTTTTTATTATGGTTGATTATAGTTGATTTTTCAGAGTCAATTCGAGACGGAGCTGAACGTGATGGGCCACAAGAAAAACGATGTGGCTGATATTGCCGTCCACACGTTCCGCGACGACACGGCTGCCGGGGACCCGCAGCTCCGCGGCGTCATCGTGTTCCTGGTGGGGGCTGTGTTTTTTTTACTTAACCAACGTCCGGCGGCTGGAAACTACGGTGCGATTCCAATGCTTCCAGACGAACTTGGCCGTCCTCCAGAGTTTGGAGCACGTGCGCCTGGGCGCCGGCTCTTCCACGTGCAAAAGACCGACGACCCGCGCGACGAAGGTGGTCGACAAGTTGCGTGCCGAGATTGGCGACGGCACGGAGGGCGAGGTCAGCGAGTTTTTATGTCGCTTTAAAAAAAACTTGCGTTTTTGTCTAACATCAATAACGCCAGGTTCTTTGTCATTATCGGGGGCTAATTTTTTCCTATAGGGCTAAAAATTCCTTGTAAGACAATAATAAAAATGTTAACAAGGTTTTTAGCAAAATTCAGCACCAGTAAAACCAGAAAAACGATCGAATGAATTTTTAAAAAATAAAAACTTCGAAATTTTCGTCGACATCACTCATCTTTTTGTAACAAATGGATCTTTTGATGAAATTTTGACATTTTTGCGTTTAGAAATAGTAAAAACACTTTGAAAGCATTTCCTCTATTTATTTTTCAAAAAAAGTTGCCCTCCCCGATAATGGGCAAGTACCGACGCCTTACAGGTGAAGCCGCGTCTCCCGCCTCCGAGCGACCGCCAATACTACCTTCGTCTCGTGGTAGCTGAACGCTATGTGGGGCCAAAACATCGATGTTTCAGGAGATTTACTGCCACTCACACTGTCCTGCTCGTCCCCTCGTGGCGTCCGGATCGCCGCCGGTGAGCACGAGGTCGTTGGGCAAAAGCAAGTTCTAGGAGTGGCGCCACGATCCGGGCCCCGTGCCCGCCGCTTTCTACCGCATGGTAGGCTTTTGTCTCTGTCTGTCTCTCTGTCTCTCTCTCTGTCTCTCTCTCCTATCTCTCTCTCTCTCTCTCTCGATCTCCCCGCTATGTCCACCCGCCGCTTCCAGGTTGCCAACGGGAAGCTGACGGGCCAAAGGAACGCGGTGAACTTGCGCCATAGGCCCCCCCAAATCCTCGACCGAGCCCACCTTGAAGAGGTTATCCGGGTCGGCCTAGGGCCGTTGTACTAGGGCCAGAGACGTCGGGGTCGCCGGCTTGAAGACGTGAGATTGTGGGTATTTTTCGGTGGGGTCTATTTATGGCCGAGACTACGGCAGGCTAGCAGAGATCATTTGGGAATGGGGGGCTGGGTAGGCTAGCAGAGATCATTTGGGAATGGAAGGGGCAGGTTAGCAGAGATAACTTGGGAATGGAAGGGGCAGGCTAGCATAGATCATTTGGGAATGGAAAGGGCAGGCTAGCAGAGATCATTTGGGAATGGAAGGGGCAGGCTAGCAGAGATCATTTGGGAATGGAAGGGGCAGGCTAGCAGAGATCATTTGGGAATGGAAGGGACAGGCTAGCAGAGATCATTTGGGAATGGAAGGGGCAGGCTAGCAGAGATCATTTGGGAATGGAAGGGCAGGCCAGCAGAGATCATTTGGGAATACTTATAAAATCTCAATTTTCCAGATCTGGCCTGCGAAATGGTGGAATCTAGCCCCGACGTATCTCCCGCCCCCCTCGCCACTCGACAAAACGAACAAACTCTTCTTATCCCTCATCGCTTGTAAATGATAATCCGTGGCCTGCCCCTTTCTTACGGGGTTTATTCCTGGTGTCTGCATTGAATAAATCTTTTTGGGAATTCGCGGTTTGTGAGGAATAAAATAGCTTGCGCGGCAATACGAAAATCTACAGATATGGACAATCTTTCTTTCGTCTTGGGGCAAGCTTGTTTCTTCCGCCAAAATGAAAGAAAATCCAACACCGTCTTCCGATGGAGATTAGAGAGACACGTGGTGAACAACGGCGGCACACACGGCAGTGCCGTTGCCAAAACACGCGCTGCGAGTACGGCCACCCTCTCCCGAAGATCCGAAAAACCTAATGGGAAAGCGTTTAGGCCACTTGGAAAGTCGATTTGGGCACAAGTGCACGGTGCGCAAAATTTTACGCTGACTCTGAATCGGTTTACGAAGTTTGATGCGGATTTTTTCCTTTAAAAAGACACCAAGCCTTTTGAAAATTGCGGCAAATTTTTCCGTTTCTGAGGGCGCCGTATCGAGTTTGCAAGTTTCCGCTTCAAAAAGCAGGAACACCGTCGGCCGTAAGGGATCTGCAGGAAACACCAAACAATCAAACATACACGCGAAGCCCAGAAAGATCTAACGTTCCTAACGACATGGTCTCCAAGTGTGCTGGGACTAAAGAAAGAGCGTGCCCGTGAAGCAACCGTACTCTCGCCCGTGAAGCAACCATTGGGATGCGAAACCATTCGAAGACTATCGCACAGGAGAAGGAGAGAGAGAGAGCGATCGAGAGAGAGAGAGTGACAAAAGAGAGTGACAGGACAGAGAGAGAGTGAGAGAGGGAGAGAGAGAGAGAGCGGGAGAGAGAGAGATGAGCGAGAGAGCGAGATAGAGAGGAAGAGAGGAAGAGAGAGAAAACAACCGTCAAATTCCCAAAAAAATTATTTATCATCGGACACCGAGGCCAGCAATCATTGGACATACAAAGAAAAAACAGTGGAGCATGAATTAATAGTCGATTGGTTGCTGCGGGTTCGGGCTTTTTTCTGGTTGGTGGACGAGGTAGTCGATCTGGAGAGAGAGAGAGGGCTGGATGAAGAGATCTGGAGGGAGATGGTCTTCATTCCATCATCGAAACTGAAAAATTCTATCCAGTAGTCCCAAATGATCTCTGCTAGCCTGCCCCTTCCATTCCCAAATAATCTCTGCTAGCCTGCCCCTTCCATTCCCAACGGATCTCTGCTAGCCTGCCCCTTCCATTCCCAACGGATCTCTGCTAGCCTGCCCCTTCCATTCCCAAATGATCTCTGCTAGCCTGCCCTTCCATTCCCAAATGATCTCTGCTAGCCTGCCCCTTCCATTCCCAAATGATCTCTGCTAGCCTGCCCCTTCCATTCCCAAATGATCTCTGCTAGCCTGCCCCTTCCATTCCCAAATGATCTCTGCTAGCCTGCCCCTTCCATTCCCAAATGATCTCTGCTAGCCTGCCCCTTCCATTCCCAAATGATCTCTGCTAGCCTGCCCCTTCCATCCCCAAATGATCTCTCCTAGCTTGCCTATCTCAAAAGCAGAAAAACCCACAATTCTTGGATGTCTAAAACCATGGTCCTCCCCAGCCTGCGGCGGGGTCCTGGGTGGGAGCAGACTCAGATTTCCCACAAGGAGGGCATGTCCTTCTTCAACCACTCGTTCGTCAACTGTCCGTTTTCCCACCTTTAAAGGGAGTGTAAAAGTTAAGCCGTGAGAGAGAGAAAGAGGAGAGAGAGAGAGAGAGAGAGAGAGAGAGAGCGAGATACAAACAAGACAACTTGCAAAAACGGAACCTGGCGGTAGAAGTCAGGCGCCTCATCCACCGAGACCCGCTTGAGCGAGGGCTGAAAAACCATTCCTTCAAAATCTACGTTTTTAGGTCTTCAAAATGTATAAAATTCCAAGCTTTGGATTAATTCCTCTGACAGACTTTCTTCGGGATCGTACGCCAGGAGGGGGACAAGCACGACGTGGCTCGCGTCGCAGCGAACGTCCTGAAAAATTGGTTAGTGATGATTATTTTATAGAATTTTTATTGATGGCGCGCTGAATAAAGCGAAATATAAAATCTATTGAGAAGGACTGACCACGATCCTCTTGTAGGTGTGCTGGCTGCCGACCTCCGGCAGCTCCGGCGGCACCTAGATTGTCGGGTTATCGGGGGGCACATTTTCAAGAATCGAAATTTTATCAAATAAATGGTTCTTTAGGATTCCGGGGGAAAGTATTCTGGGAAAACAAATTTTTTCGGCGAAAGCCTAGATTTTTGTATAAATTGCGGATGCGTTTCTAAATTGTTTTTAACTATTCCTGTGCATAAAAACTACACACATTTTAACCAAAAAAATGTAAAAAATTCAAAATTAGGTCGAAAAATAGACCCAAAATGACCAAATTTTCGACTTTTCCAAACATTTTCTAAATTTTTCTGAAAGTTATTCCGCTCTAAATATAGTTAAAACTTACTAAAAACAATTCGAAAACACTTTATATTTGATTACTAGGCCAACCGGGACCACCAGGAAAAATTTGGTTCCCCCGGGAATACGCCTTTCCCCCGGGAATCCTAAAGAACCAAATAAATAGAGGAAGTGGTCTCCGCCCTTTTGCTCTTCCGGAACTTAAAAACTCTACAAATATTCACAAAAAATGGCCTTTTTGACCAAATGCCCGTTTTTACAAAAATCCGACGATTTTTTTCGAAAAATTTGTCAAAATTTTGAGTCAGGTTTAAATATAGTTGAATTAAAGGCCGTCCGCGGGTCATCCGAACAAGGCTTGGTACAGTTTTTTCGACCCTGTTTTTGTGACGTCATCTGAAAGAGCATGGTCGAATTAGTAGAGTGGCACTATTTTTGAGATGTTAAAAAGTTTATTTTCCTAGTTAAATTTGGCTCTCTAAAGTGCAAACCTCAAAAAAATTATCTCGGGAAACTACCGGACCGAATCAGCTCAAATTTTTGTGACTAAGCCTAATTTGGGATGGGGATCATTTTCTAATACATTGCGACGCACGAAAACGGCCGGAACATAGGTATATTGCGTGTACTAAAACAGTTTTTTGCGGTTTCGACTTGTTCGGAGTGTTCGTCCGCATCATGAGACTACATAGAAAGATGCGCAATTTTTTTCTGCATCGATTGATGTATCTTTTATCAGGCGGCCAGACACCCATTTGCTCGAGATATTCCATTGAGGTGCGCTTAAAACGCACCAAAAAAAGGTACCCAGACAATGCACCACAGAAAATGGGTACTTGAAGCATGAAAACAGATCTGTAAGACGAGCTGAAGCTATTGCAAAAAGAGCAAAAGAAATACCATTTTGAAAGGAGTCTGAACTCCGGCTTGAGAATCGAACCCGGGTCGTGTGCACCAGAGGCCCTCCTGCACATTTCATGGCTAACATCAGCATTACCAATCCCCAAGTGCCTAATTCCAAATCCCAGCCCTCAAATTCTGAATTATTTGCTTCTTTTTTGCCAGCTTCAGCTCATCTTCCAGTCTGTTTTCATGCTTCAGAAATTCAGAAATTTTTGTGATGCCCCACTATATTTTTTGCAGACAGTTTACCTGCACCCTGTTTATTCGACCAACCCCCGCACGATCACAAGGTATGTCAGCGTGCAGTTTGTGTTTCCCCGCTTGTAGCAGTAACCCGGCCAGTATTCCATCAAATCCCAGCGCACTCTATGTTCGACCATCGTATCCAAACGTAATAGAAAAATGATCCCCATCTGGCGGAAGCTGATCTGATTGAGCTGAGCCCATTATTCAGTAGCCCGAGGTTCTAACTGCATCCGCGCCCCCCCTAACTAGAAAAAATAAACTTGTACATCTCAAGTAAATGCCACTACTAATTCGACCATGCTCTTTCCGAGAACTCAATGCATGAGGTCCCCCCCGACCAAGCCGCTATTGAGGCCCGGTCAGGTGAGCCGCGGAAGGTCTTTTCAGCTGAAAATTCTATTAAATCCCTTGTTATTTTCTATTTGCCAGCTGTAATTGTTTATTTTTGGACCATGAGAAGTATTTATTTGTGGTGCACCCGCTGGCTAGCTGAACTCATGGCTTTCGTCGGCCTGCCCGTCCCCGATCTCGGCATACTGTATCGACTTCGTTTACGTCGTGTTTGTCATCATCTTTGCGCTCCATGTAAAGCCGGCGCCCGAGTTCACCTCGGCCATCCCGCTCGACCACGCCCGAGGTCGCCTGAAATGCTATAGCGAAAATGTGGTACTGGACTGTTGGCAGGGGGGATATTTTTTTGTACCGTCTGCGCCTGAGAATAAAAATAACTTGTATTTTCTAGGAGTTTTTAGTAGTTTTGCTTTCTAGAAAGTCACGAAAATATTTTTAGGCTAAAAATACCGCAATTTTGAGCTTTTTAGCCATTTTCATGCATTTTCGACAAAAAAAGCATAAAATGATTGAAAGCTTTATATTTTGATATTTTTATGTATCAACTATAATAATTTTCTTGACGCGTCTGTCTGTCCGTCTGTCCGTCCGTGTGAAGCCGAATTCAACTCGAAGGGGAAAGGAGCTAGAGCTTAGCTCTCTTCGGATTCGGATAGAGCGTGGTCGGAAACCCCCAAACTGATAAAAAAAATTATGAAAAGGTTTTTGTTTAAATTATTAAAATTAACTTTGAAAGTTTTTCCTTAGTAAAAGGAGTGGGGCCCCTCTCCCGGGAGGCCACGCCCCCTGCCCCTCTTCGCCAGGCCCCTTCCCGCGCCCAGATAGCTTTTTTAAGTTACTTTAATACTTTTTAATACTTTTAATACTTTTTAATACTTTTTATTAAATAATCTTATTTAAATCATCTAAAGCCATCGGGAAGGTATTTAGGTCGTTTTTGAAGGGGCTTTCAGCCATGGGGGGTATCTAAAGCCATCGGGAAGGTAAAGTTACTTTAATACTTTTTAATACTTTTTAATTATGTTAATTAATTATGTTAATTAATTATTTAAAGCATCTAAAGCCATCGGGAAGGTATTTAGGTAGTTTTTGAAGGGGATTTCAGCCATGGGGGGTATCTGAAGCCATCAGGAAGGTATTTAGGTAGTTTTTGACGGGGATTTCAGCCATGGGGGTATCTGAAGCCATCAGGAAGTTATCGATGTAGTTTTTGAAGGGGATTTCAGCCATGGGGGTATTGATGGAGGTGGGAAAGGATGTGGTGGAGTGGGACATGTAGGGTAGCCCGAAGGCCAGATGGTTGCAGTCGCGAAGCGACTGTAACCATCTGGTAAAAA